AGAGCCTTGAGAACAGTTACTACCTGTGCTGCTTTAGGGTACTTATTCTGTGAGCTCCAGTCCTCATGCTGAATTGCAGATAATAATGTACCTACTTCCTATGATTGTTGTGTGCACTGCAATGTGCCAACATAGGCAAAAAGCTTAAAAAGTCACCTACAAAGTACAAGACAAATGTCAGCTATTTACATTGTTTCTGTTGACTTCACATACCCAGGGGCTTCTGGGGCTTCTCCCTGTCCTCCACTCCCCAACCTTGGACCAATGTTCTTTTCCTCTCCAAACCTGTTTCTGCCTTTGAGGATGGGGATAACATTAAGGTTGTTGTACAGATGAAGGGAGAGCTCAGCCCGCTTGCTCAGTGTGTTGTCCGGCACACTGTACTTGTTCAACAGTGTCATGTAAGCATTTAAACTCAGTTTCATTAGAAAAGTCAACTCCGTTTTAGTGCTCAAACTGTCTACACGTTTCCTAGTGTCTACTGAGAGACTCGCCTGGAAGCCACTGGAAAAGAGCTGGGGGGAAAGAAAGTTTATAAAATCGCCCTTTGGATCTTGCAACTTTTGTTTCATCATTTCGAGGTGCAGGGAGCTTGGGAGGAGGCTGCACCTCAAGCACACCAAGCTCTCCTTCTGAGTCCTTTCTCGGTCACATGGTCACACAGCCTCCTACGCTGGCCAAGGCCGACCATGCAAAGCCATTGCTTAACTTGTTTTCCAGAATCAGAGGAAAGTTTAACATAAGAAAATTTTATAGCTCCTGCCCAGTAACATATATTACTTTTAAAAAATACAAAGAACCTTTCCCTTATCATGCATTATTCTTTTACATGTACAATTTTCCTGACGTATTGAAGTAATATTCCATGGTTTGCTGTGACTTGGCAGTTTATGGCCCTTCTGTGGCAGATCAGACTAAACATAATTCATTCATAGCTACTTAGTGCTTAGGGAAATAAACCCCCAAACTTAAATAACTATAGTGTGACCTCTGTAAAATATTATTTATGGGTTTAAAACTATTATTATGTAGATATCAAGATGTGCCAAATATTATAACCCAAACACCAGCCAGCTAATGGGACAACTATTATTTCACTTCTGTTTGCTTTCCTTTGTGGCTTTTTCTCTACAATGCTATTTTTGTTTAAATGGGTCCTGGGGTAATTACCCAGCAGTGGAAAGCCACATACATTTACATTTTATTATAGAATACCACTGCAGTTTAAAACTCTCCTTTAAAAGAAGAACCCCAAAATGTAGACATTCCATTAACACACTGCAGTTTAATAGGAAAGACATTGACTGCCTTTGAGCAAAAAGAACCTAGTCCACTATTGATGGACTAATGTAACCCACCTGCTATTCATTTCTGCAAATTAGTTTATGGGGAAACTGTGATCGTACATTTAAATTTTCCAGATGGGAACGCTAAGCTTAGAGCTTCCATGCTGTTAAGAGCATATGTGCATTCCCAGCGTGATTTACCCTGAAGTTTACAAATGTTTAGGGTGTCCTCTCCGCATCTCATTTGTTTCCTGAATTACTTCCTATGATTCAACTATCTTCTAGGAAACAAAATGTCAAGTGGGAGTAAAGGAATGAAATCACCAGTTACTGAACTGTCACTGAGCAAATAATGCTTGGGGATCCACCATAGACTGGTGCTGGTATTTGGCACAGGAAACAGTGAAACCAAGGGAGAAAAAATCTCAGCTCCCATGAAATTAACAGTCCAGATATGGAGATGGAAAAGCAAATAATCAATTTTGAGACAGCGGGGTAAGATGAGGCTGAGGACAAGAAGCAGAAAAGCAAGCAGGGCATCAGAAGGCCTCACAGAGGACAAAACACTGAGCCAGGACTTTGGAGAGGATGAGGGAGTAGATCTGGAGGTCAGGTGAGTGAGAGCAGCATGAGCCAGGACAGGAGCAGACGCGGGCTGAGGCCTCTGCCGGCTGCACGGCATTGCTGGAGGTCAGTGGGTGCTGGAGGAAGTGGGTGGAGATTTAGAGGCAGGCCCACTCTGGAACCTCTGCAGGTCCTGCTAAGGAACAGACCCTCCCCCGGGGGGGTGTACCTAGACCCCGCTGACCTTAAGATGAGGGATATCATGGTGAGATTTGTGTCTGGGATCCTTCGTGGTTCTCTAATGGGGAATCCACTGGAGCCCTGTTTAGGAAGTCCTCCAACTTCCAGATGAAAACTACCCAAGCCTCCGCAGGAAGGTGGTAAAGGAGGACCTGCCCCGGAGTGCTTGTAGGATACAGAAGGACCAGGATTTGAGGACAGTGCATGGGGAAAGAAATGAAGTGGGGAGAGAAGCAGGCAGCTCTAGGTTTGGCTGGGTGACTGAGGACAGGAAGGACTACTTCTAAGCAAATGGGACGGGTTTGGAGGAGAGGCCAGTGATTTGATACTGACCACCCAGGACGCAATGATGCCTGCTGGACACCTGGCTGTGTCTAAGGGGCAGCTGGAACTGTAAGTGTGGAGAGAAGACGGGGTCAAAGGAGACTGCCACTGATACGTGTGATGTACAGTGATAGTCTCATAGATTCATGAAAGTGAATACACGAGCTAATTTTCTCCTTTAAGAAAAACTTGAGAAATACTATTATGCAGTTATTCGCAAATTATGTTGAAGAGAGAAGCCTTAATCCCTAAAGACTTACAGCCTCAGGTTTTTTAAAGAATACTACTTACTTTCACTGGCCACATATACCTGTAATCCCAGCACTCAGAAGGCCGAAGGAGGAAGATCTCTGCAAGTTTGAGGCTGGCCTGGGATTAAATACAGTGGACCCTTGACTTATGACCTCAATTGGTTCCTGAGGGCTTGTTGTAACTCAAGATGGTTGTAAGTCAATACAGCTGAGATCTGGATGTTTCCTTGGGTACACGCTATAGATTACGAGTGGCAGATGACTCTCCCATTAATCTAATTAACCCAAGTTGTTTGTATGTCAGGCCAGTCAGAACTTGAGGGTCCACTGTAATGAGTTCCAGGCCAGCCTGGATTACAGACTAAAAACCAAACAGAAAGAATACCACTTACCTTTGGGGAGAGTGAGGCACTGGGGATTGAATCCAGAGCCTTCTCACTGAGCTGTATCCCCAGCCCCCTTTTATTTAAATTATTTTTTCTTCATTTTCATTAGTACATTTTTGCAATACATAGTATTACATTCATTATGCGGAGTTGGTACATGCCCATAACACATCTTAACACATCTTAATTCTTTTTGATGTCCCCTTTCCCTCCTCTCCCTCCTCCCTTCTGCCCCTTTTTAAAAAATTTTTTTGAGACAGAGTCTCAATAAGTCACTATATTGCTCAGGCAGAGCTTGAACTTGTGCTCTGATTCTCCTGTCTCAGCCTCCCAGATTGCTAGGATTACAGGTGTGTGCCACTATGCCTGGCTTGGAATACCACTTACTTTATCAAGTTCTGAACAAACTGAGCACATTGGAAAGGAATACATTTCTACCTCCTTGGTCTTGATGACTTTCTAAAAGCTCATACATTTTGATAGATAAGATTAATAAGATCACGTAGTGTTAAGCACCTTGGACTTTCAGAACAAAGGCCTTTTAGAAGAACAAAGTATCATTATTAATGACATCACTTACAGTTTTCATCGGTAATGTAAGGTTCCATCCACTTTAATGGGAACTTAGTTATGACCTCTGTGCACAGGGCAAGGCTATTAGATGAGGGTCTTGACAGTAATACCTTTTGCTTCTAAGGAAAAAGATAAATCACAGATTGATCAAAAAGACAAGGGAAGGGGTTCAGAAGGTGAGTCACCATCCACTTGCCAAATTTCTCAAAACTTTGTCACCAGTGAGCTGGGCTAGCGCGCTCTGCCTTGCGAGATGGGCTTTCCTATGAACCTTTGCTTTCTGGGCACTTCTCTGACCTAGGAAAATGCCTTCTGTATCTTTCCCTTTTTCTTCCTCTGCTCTGTGCAATCCCTAAACAGTCTGTGTTGGATTTCATGGCCCAACGGGATTTTTCTCTGCCATGTGTGAACTTGGTACATTAAGTAAAGGATGCTGGTGACGGGGTGGACATGTGGAGCACTAATGGGGACCATACAAGGTGGCCAAGTATGGGGAGTACGCACCCTTGAATACACATTATTACTATCAGTGAAGTGTGGAAGAGGGCTGCATGTCTAGCATCAATAATCAGAAAATTGTTAGAAAATTTTGCAAAATCTTTCTGAAGTGCTACTCTCGTGTAAGATCTCTTTGGGACCTTAATGTGTCCAGTCAGATTTGCTAAGACCTTTTTAATGACTCTTTAAAAACAACTCTGTTTTTGTTGGAGGGAATTAAGTGAAATTTTCCTGGGGGAGAAGATAAAGTTAAATTTTGTTTTTAATTTGCCATCTAAGATCAGCCAGCTGTATTTTATGTACAAAAACCATCTGGGATGCAAAGAAATGTCCAGTGAAAATAAAGGAGGAGGGAATTTACTTGTATTACAGTAACTACTGACTTGCATCTGGGGGCGTATAAGGAACTGGTTGATTGTGGCTCTCCCACCAGCTCACCTTTGAGAAGTTACTCAAGATCGCTGAGGTCACCCACGACAGAACAGGGCAGCAGACTGAAAGTGGGGCAGGAAGGCTGCAGTTACATAGTACCCAGCGATGTCTGCTCTCCAGAAAGCTCCAGACTGTTACTGTCCCTCTGATTTTTAACAGCTGAGTCATCAGCAAGTTGCTGATTTGATGATGGAGACATCTGGAGTATCCTTCTTGTTCTTTTACTGTTGGGGCCCTCTCGCTGACCTTAGTACTCTCTCTTGTTTGCGCTTTAATTTCACCAGGTAGGTCAAAGCTCATTTCCAATTTAGCTCCCTTCCTTCTCAGGCTTAGAAGACACGCCTCTGGTTAGGGAACAGGTACCGGAAAACATGGGACTTGCTTTCAACTGGAATCCTGAGACACTAGACAGTATGCTACAAGCCACCGGGGTCATTGCAGGAAAATAGTTCACATTTTCATTTTTAATGTTTCTGCTGCTTTGTTGTCCCAAATACCCAACAATTAACTGAAGTTTACAATTTGAGTAAAACACACAGAGAAGCAATATTACGATCATATTCTTCGATACCTATCAATACCAAAAATTTTTAAATATCAACCACATTTATCAAATTCAAATATTAGTGAGGGTCATCTAATTTGTCTGCATGTCGATGCTGCTACAAGTTCAAATTCTGTTGTAGGAAGTTAATGATGAAAGACTGAGTTCACTTTGAGCCTTATTCTGAAATATTTTCTTATTGCATTATAAATCTGCAATTAACAAATGCGGAAAACAGCTAGTAGTGTTTGTACCTTTAAGATCGCAGTTCAAAAGAACTAAGCAAACATGGTAATAAACCAGAGACAAACATAACCTTTATTCTCTTTTAGAACTGCAGAAAATAAGGTTTGGAGCAGTATTCAATAATTTAATCAGAATACCTTAGGACTTAGGGTCTTATTTGAAATTTTATAGCGACAATTTTTAAAAATATTAGCAAACTATATGCTGCTCTCAAATTACATGATAGAAAATATAGTAAGTACTCTTATTCAACTTAAATCACTCCTAGAAGATCCCAATGAGACAGACCTAAATGACATGCATGTTGTCCATCCACCAATAAATTTCAAAGAATTACAAATGAGTCTAATAAAATCAATGCAAACTAATCAATACAATTTAAGACTAGACCAGTAAAAAAAAAAAACATTCTTCAAAACCTTGCAGTGCCATGGAGAATAAACAGTAGTCAATACAAAAAGCTGTAATAGATAGGAGGCATTAGAGAATTTTGATGAATTAATGAACAACTCTTCGTTTTTAGCAAGTAAACTGGTAAAATGGTAACAACTAAGGGTTTTACTTTTAAGTTCTCTGGCCTTAAAAGGGTTTTTGTATAAAAATATTCTATTACTCTACTTTATACATACTGATTGATTTTAGTCAATCAATAAAATCAATTGATTGGTTTTAACGTTACCTCAAAGGTTCAAATAACCCTAAAATTCTAGTTTACACATAAGATTATATTCCTCGTGATTACTAGAGGAATCATGTAATAAACATGATTACTAGAAACAAACATGTTTCATTTGAGACCATAAATATAAAGACCTTTTATTTCAGGTCTAAGAGATAAGGCATGAATGAAGCCCTTCCTCTTGAACATTAAAAAAAAAAAAAGAAAAAAGAAACCAGACGACAAAAGAGGACAGAGGATTGTCAGGAGACAGAGGTATGACCTCAGGGGATGCCGTCCCCTCTAAGATTCCTCCTAACTCTGGCTTTAAAGTTAAAACATCCCATGGGCCGGGGATTTAGCTCAGTGGTTTCACCGCCTGCTGTGCAAGGACCTGAGTTTGATCCCCGGTACCAAAAAAAAAAAGTTAAAACATCCCCCCTGAGCCAAGCAAACTGGCCTTTTCGAGTTTCTACACAGCATCTGGCAGTCTGTTTTACACCCAAACATTGCATGAGCTGACACAAACCCTGGGGCAAATCCGTTTGCCAACAAGTCTTCTAGGATAGCACCTTTCCCCACGCACTCCACAGACAGAGCTTCCTCTGTTTAGGGCAGAGCCAGACCAACCAAGTCCGACGCGGTACGCTCGCACCGCCCATAGGAACAAACGACTAGCTGACAAAGCGCCCTCGGGTTGAACTCAGATTACTGCTTCTTCGGGCCAAGAGTGCAACCCCCAAATTTGAGGGAATACAGGAAACTCCAGAGGATCTTGTTAAACACGATCTGGAGTGATTCATGCAAGCCTTGGTATGTCAGAAACCTGGGGGTTGGTGCCTCCTAATCTACTGGTAACGTGCATGTTCTCCCCACCTGTTTCTGCAGCGCAACTGTGGGCTGCATTCTCTGTCTCAACCACCCACTGGACCCTACACCCACCCCCCCAAGACCAGCGCTGCTGCCTGACATTAAATAAGAGCATCACCAGGTCTCTCAATCACTTGTCCCATTAGGGTCGAATAGGAGTCTCCAGGGTCCCTCGAACCCTGGAATTCTACATTCTTTAAGAACCTGACATGTCAAGTGCTAAGTCATGAAGCAGATGGAGAATTTGCGAGGTCTCCCTCTGCTCCAAAAGGCCCGGCCCAGCCGGAGAGTCTGGCAGCCCGGCGAGGAAGAGAACTCCTTTCTCTGGGCCCCTCATCCACAACAGTAGGCAAAGTGAGGCGAGCTCGACACTGGGTGAGGGGCGATGCGGGACGCCCTAGGAGCTCTCAAGACCCCGGCAGGAAGCCGGAAGGGTCCGGGGGAGCTGGCCTCACTCCTCGTCGTTGTCGTTGTCGTCGTCCTGGTCCTGGTAGCGAATGTAGACGGCCAGCATGACGAAGCCCACGACGATGCAGAGGGAGCCCACGACCAGGTAGGCGATGCCCAGGAAAGGATTCTTGCCGCCCATCCACGAGACGTTGCTGAACACGAGCAGCTTGTGGCCGCCGAAGGTGCGCACCGGGTAGTTGTAGGCGATGTCCACGCGGTAGGCGCCGCTGGGCAGCCCGGCCGAGTAGTTGCCCTGGCGGATGCGCGCGTACAGCTTTCGGAAGGTGGGCAGCGCCGCCGTGCGCATCCACACCACGAAGTCCTGGTTGACGAAGCCAGTGTTATTGGGGTCGGGGCTCAGCTCGTAGACCGGCCGGGGCCAGTTGGGGGGCGGCGCGGTGCCCTGGAAGGCGAGCGCCAGGCTGCCGTTGACAAGCGGCGGGTTGCGGAACTTGACGTGGTAGTCGGTCCACCAGGCGATGGCGGCGCGGTCCAGCGGCACCTCCACGTAGGGCGCGCCGGGCTGGCGCTGGTGCCACAGCGTGAAGGTGTCGTTGAAGAGGCTGTTGGCGATGGCGCCGCAGGGCGCCACGGGCAGGCCGCGGGCGAACTGGTAGGGGGCGCACTCGTTGGTCGGGTGGCGCAGCGAGTCCGGGAGCCCGCTGAGCTGCGCGTTGTCGCGGGACACGCTGTAGCGCCGGTTGTTCTGGTAGAAGTCCGTCAGCTCGTAGTAGAGGTACACGGGCCCCGGGAAGCGCTCGGCCAGCGTGAAGTGCCAAGCGCACAAGCAGCGGGGCGGCGGCGCGCGGCCCTGGCCCTCGGCGGCGCACACGGTGCAGCTGCCCGCCGCGTCGCCAGTGTAGTCGTGCTCCAGCTCCCGGATGGCGTTGGACGAGTAGTACAGTCCCAGGCCCAGCCCCAGGAAGGCCAGGCCCGCGCAGAAGAAGAGCGGCAGCGCGATGCCGGCCGACAGCAGCGGATGCCAGGCGGGGAGGCGCTGCTGCGTGAACGCGGTGTTGTCGGGCTGTTGCGCGCGCCGCGCCGCTGCGCTCCAGGTCATGGCGGCCCCGGACACTCCGACCGCCGGCCGCTTCCGCCGCGCGCAGGTGAGGCCGCGGCCCCGCCCATTCCGAGGTGCGTGGGGCGGGGCTTCTCCTGCTCACCTGGCCGCTGCGGGCCAGCGTCCTGCTCCCCTCCGCCCCGGGACCGGGCGGCCCCAGGCTCCTGCGGGGTGGCTCCCACCTTGCTCAGGTGCCACCGTCTCTTCCGCCTTCCCCGTGGACTGGCCAGTGTCCCCAAGTTTCAGGCGCTTCAGTATTCAGCAGGTTCCACTGAGAACTGGCAGTGTGGTGCAGGAGGCTTGAAGATCTATGGTCGTGATCGTCTTTATTTAGAAGGAGGCAGGGCTCCAGATCCGTTTATCTTTGTAGGTTAACTTATGGACCCCTTTGCGCTCAACTTTCAGCCACAGTTTGTAGAGCCCAGGGAAGGACGCTAGTAAATCTCTGTCGAATTCGACCCTGCGGCCAAATTCTAGCTTTTTTTTTTTAAAGGGAAAATGATTTTCTGATCAGATGCCCCAGGCTGACTGTATAACTAAGAAAACTGGAAAGTTCTCTAAAAATAAAATGACCCTTAAAAAAGAAACAGACTGTAGGGGAGGGCTACTGGAGGGGAAATGGTCAAAGTATATTATGTTCACATAGGAATTTGCCAAAATGAGATCTAGTGATCTATATAAACAATATGCATGAATAATAAAAGATGTGCAGCTGGGAGAATGGGAAAAGAAAGCAAGAAAAAAGATTGGAGAGTTTCACAGCCTTTAAATATCTCTCTAGCTGGCGGAAAAACCAGTAAGAAGAAAAGTAGACTGTACTATATGTGAGTATTTTTCTTTTCTCGTTACTTGCCTGTCCCAGGTCCTAGTGGACCCAGCAGGTATTGACAGTCAAGGACCTATGGAGTATTTGGCTTAAGGAGGTGAACTGTAAGGTGAGCTATTATATTTCTAATAATTCAGTTATCTCTAAGTATTGTCTAGATCCCTGACTTTTGTATCTAAGTTGGTACAACATTCCTGAGGAGGGTGTGGAACCATTTCACTTTGTTTAAACCCTCCCAGGGAAGTGTGCCTACTTCTGCAGCTCATAAAATGCAAATAACTTAAATATTTTCCTATTCACTTCCACACCTAGTATGCTAATATGTTGTATTCAGGAGTCATTCAAAATCCATTGAAACCTGGAAAGTTAAAATGCTTGTTGAACGATAGGAGTTTTAAAAAGCATCTCCCAGCTGTTCAGCCCTACACTGAGCACAGGAGAGAGGAACATGTTAAGGGTCCTTATGTCAAAGCATTTGGAGTCTGCTGTGGGACATATTACTTAGGAGTAATAAACAAAATAGCCAGTAGTCTCCATATAATCAAGCACCAAATTGTGCTTTACAAGCCTCACACTAAAATTAAAAAGTAGTATTATTTTAATAATAAAAAATTGATTCTACTTTGTTGAGTGAATGCAGGTTGGAAGCTTTAGCTGTTATAGAATACCAAGGGAGACCCAAGTGACTTGAATTCCCTCCACACACACTTGCAGCAGTACTGGGAGGGATCAAACCCAGGACCGTGCACTGAGCTCCATCCCCTGCCCTTTTTTTATTTTGAGACAGGATCTCACTAAATTACTAAGTTGCCTAAGCTGGGCACAGACTTGTAACCCTCCTGCCTCAGCCTCCCAGAGTGCTGGGATGACAGGCTTTCACTGTCAGGCTTAGCATCTCTATTTCTTATATCCCAGGAGAGGAAATTCCAGCATTGTCTGAAAGTTCCCATAGGGTGATCCACTTTCTACTACATCTTTTAAAAAATAAGGTAAATGAATAAACAGTTCTCTTTATCCTGTGGTTGTGTTCCACCTCCCTGCCCTGCTGAATTGCCAGTCTGCTTGATACAGTCTCCAGGAAGCAGTCAAGGTCTCACAGCGTTATCTAGTTGCAGGTCCTAAGTCTACAAACCGCGTGGCCACCACACCCCTGAAAGTGTAAACCCTCCCATCCGGCTTAGAGCTTTTCTTCCCTTGTTACTCTCTCTGGATGACCTAAAGCCACTATTTATTCCACTAATTAAGTTACACCAAGTTCCACAATAAAAAGAGGAGACTGTTTCAAAACAGAATAGGCAGCAGGTTAAGCACGGATGAGGTCTCCGTGAGACAGAAGTGGAGTCCTGGCTTCATTTTAGGAGAGCACTGCTGGGCAGTGATGGAGGAGGCGGCTGGAGTCAGGTGTGGAGAAGGGGAGTCAAGGCGGCCCAGGCCAAACATCTCCTTTTAGAAGTATGCAAGGAGGAGGAGAAGTGGTAATGGGCAGCAGAGCTCATGACCCAGAGGAGAGGCCTCTGTAGATGGCAGAGTTCAGTGCGAGGTCTTGGATGCGTGACAGCAGGCGCAGGCCAGAGGCTGAGGTCCAGAGAGCAGTGCGGTGTCCTCTCACCTCTGAAGTGGGGGGCAGGCAGCACGCATGGATGGGTGCAGAGCTGTCACCTCAGAATTGATTTCTGGCCACACATCATGGCTCATGCTTCCAGTTCCAGCTGTTAGGAGGCCTCTGCCTCTGCAAGAGGATGACTTGAGCCCAGGCATTCAAGGACAGCCCGGGCAATTTAGCAAGACCCGTCTCAAAATAAAAGAATTCCTGCAGAGGAAAAGGTGAGATGAGCCTTGCAGTAGGGAGGATGGTAAATATGGGGCACAGGGAAGATGAGTGGGGGGGATGGGAGGGAGCCCACCAGGTGCCGGCACCTTTGTCCAGAGAGCCCAGCAACTCGGACTCTGAGAAGGTGGGTGACGGAATATACCTGACTCACTGGGGATCCAGGACAGGTGAGTCAAAATGGTACAGGTTCAAGATACTGTATTCCTTAGGGAAGGGAGAGGCTAAAGGGAGGGGCCTTAGGGCGAAGCCAGATACAAAGAATAAGGCAACTAAGAAAGACGGGCCAGTGGCTCACAGCAAAAACAAAGGGAGTAGTAGGCTGGTGATTCCAGTGATGTCTGTCAATGGGCAGGGCATGAGCCCCTTTATGAGTTGGAGGTAAAGACTGTGGAGGTGAAGCAGATGGAGAGCCATAGATCTGTGGGTTCTACATCCTCCTCTTCAGCCAACTTCAGATTGAAATTATTTGAAGAAAAAAAAATGTGTCTGTGCTAAAGGTGTACAGACTTTTAAATTCTCATTTCCTAAACAGTACAGAATAGCAACTACTTGCATAATGTGTGCATTTTCCTAGGTCTCCTAAGACAGCCAGAGATGATCTAAAGTGCACACGTTATGTACATAGGTTATGCAGATAGTGCACTTTTTATATAAGGGACTGAGTGTCTGCAGATGTGAATCCTTTCCTGGTTCTTGGGACCTGTCTCCGAGGACACCAAGGCTAACAGTGTGTCAGATCTCCCCTACCAGCATCGAAGTTCGGAGAGGGTGAGGACTGAGGTACTTCGGTGTGTCCCTCAAAGTTCTCAAAGTTGTGAGATGACATTTCTGACCTCATATCTTTCATTTTATTACACATATTATCATGATATATTAAGCTCTTTAGTACCAATAAAAAATAAGTTACAAACAATTCTTTATTGCATCAGCATCATTGAGTGAACTCAAAGAGAAAGACAAGGCAGCTCTAATCTTAATACTCTTAAAATTGCTTTGCTTTTCTATTTTATCTTCTGGATTTTGTCCATAGATATATTTAATTTTTAGTTGGTTGCAATTATGATAAATTTTCATTCTGTTTGTCAGATTACCTCCTTGTATTCTTTTTTTTGCAGTGCTAGTGATTGAACCCAGGGCCTTGTGCATGCTAGGCAAGCAAGGACTCTACCCTTGAATTACATCTCTAGGCTTTTTTGTAATTTTAAAAATAGTTTCAATGTTTATTGCTCTATAGTATTTAACTGCTTTCCTTTTGTTAGATGTGTAGTTTATTTTCAGTTTGGCAATAATCCAAGGAATATGGTAGTGAATGTCTTCTTGTGTACAATTTTTATTTTAGGTTATTTCGTTAGGATAGATTTATAAGAGCAGGAAAGGGGCTTAAAAATCAAGTCTTTTAAAAACACAAACTGTTGGCCGGGGATTTAGCTCAGTGGTTTTTTCGCTGCCTGCTGCACAAGTGCAAGGCCCCGAGTTTGATCCCTGGTACCAAAAAAAAATAAATAAAATAAATAAAAATACAAACTGCTAATATCTTTTTAACTTCCATTACAATGTATATACTTTGCTATACAAAACTACTAACCAAGGAATAGTTTTTATCTATGCTAATAAACTAGCTCATCCAGGAGAATAGTGCAAGACTGGGGACAGAATGTTGGCCTGGCATTATGGAAGTCCAAATTTTACTCTACACTTGCGAAATAGCTGTGTGAACCTGGCCAAGTTGTTTAATTTTTCTGGCCTTATAATTGCTTACCTGTATGAGTGTGTTTGCCAAAATGATAGTTAATGTCTCTTTCAAAGATTTCTGTTCCTGGCCATCTCGAGAGGTCTTCTTTACTACAACCGGATAAACAGCTAACATCATGCATTGTCTAATTCACACCACAAACCACAGTGGCTGGTATAATTATCATCCAATCAAACTGATGCGGAGCTAAGATTTGAGCTAATGTGGTGGAGACCACCCAGGTTCTCACAGTGGTGAGGAGGAAGGGAAGGAATGGTCGGTTACCTTAATCCAAGTGTCCTGCATTTTTAACCACAACACTGTAATACCTTTGGATTTTTCCCTCTGAAAGAATTCAAAAAGCTTCAAACTTGACCAAGTTCTTATTATTGCAGGTTTTCTCTAACATCCCAAAGAGAATTCTGTTCTACTTAAGCAAGGAGTCCTAGGACATCTGAGTTGCCTTTATTTTTGTTTTTACAAAAGCTTTTGTTTTAAAGCCAATTTTTGTTTGGCATGCCTATTTCTCTTGCTGAAATAAAAATAACTTCACTTGTCTGGCTGTGCTCAGTGTTTGCATATATTTCATTTAATTCGTGACTATTTATCTTTCTGTGAAGAGTAGGGTTTTAATTGGTGTTCCTTTATGCAGGTTTATACTG